GATAACTTCTTTTGCAGTTAAATTCATTTTTCTCTCTTGATTTTATAGGATTTGCAATTCTATTTTAGCACATTTTTAAACTGCTTAATTTGTAACCAAGAAGTTAAGGGAGCAATCAAGGAATCCAAAGATCCTAAATTTTTAATGATATTATCTACTTATATCATTTGAATGGTATATGTTATACTTATATCTCTTTTTCACATTGGCTACTCAATTTTACTCGACACTTTTTGAAATAGACGTCTGAATGAAATAGTCGGAAAATTTTGCAAAATTGATGTTTATTTCTCATACGAATTATTTGTTCAATGTCGAAACACCGAAGCGAGGTTGTTCTCGTGATTTCTCGTCGCGAACAATCGTCATCGTGGTTATACACTGATGCGAGCTATACGCGTAATCGTGATAATCGTAAGGCGGCAGATATTTTTAGCCTCGCGCCGCGTTGCACTCGGTCGCCTCCGCGACCTTCCGATCTTGACACTGAGACTTCCTTTTTCTATCGCTTTTTTCTGCGAGCGTCGCTGGGCTCGCGCGCACGTGTCGCGTCAGCGATGGAACGTTACCTGCTTGCCTGCCGGTCTTACGAAACGACCGGATGAATCATATATGGAGATATATAAATGCGCCTAATTATACAGCATACCGAGTCGCCATAAGAGATAAGTATCGACGCGGGATCTAAATTCGTTTGTGACGAGCGTGACGAGCGAGGACAGACGGGTAGGGAATTCGCCGATTCCCTCAGGCTGCGTTATGTGTTCGCATGCAGAAAAGCAGCATACATTTTCATCGAAAACGCAACCTCATCGGTTGACGCGACGCGGTATCACGCCAACCTTCGTGTCGTCCTTATCAATAATTACGTGACGGAGCTCGTTCAATCATATATTATCGGAGAAACATAAAATCATCGGCAACTCAAAAACAATTCATTTGGGGATATTTACGCGAAATAGAGAGAGAGAGAGAGAGAGAGAGACATTTAGTTTATTACGCGCTTTAAGATAGCATCCTCTCAAGCGCTAAAAACGACTTAAATTATTGGAAAAATACTGGAATGTTGAATTAAAAAAGATACCATAAATGTATCTTTCATCTTCTATTATATATATATATATATATAAAATGAATGGAATATAATTTTATTGTAATTATAATTATGCTGTGTGCTCATAGAAAAAAAAGGAAGAAAGAGAGAGAGAGAGAGTGACATGCGAAAGATAAACGCGCGTATTTTTCAGCACGGAAAGTGAAAACGCAAACGAGATAACGCAGCAGACGGCTGCAGACAAAGTGCGTCGAGACAAAGACAAGTACGGACAGGGATTAAATTAAGAACGCCGTTGAAAAGAGCGTAGGGAAACGACCCGGCGGAGGGTTGCTTTCTCGCGGAAATGAAAAACGCGAGACGCGATGACATTTAATAAACAGCGCTGGGTGGGCAGGATAGAAATATATTCGAGATGGCGCAAATCACGACGATTATTTGGCAAGAAAGCTAACCGTGGTGTCGCACTCGCAGGCACTGCAATTACGTGATTTCGACGTGCTGTGGACGGTTTTCACCTAACTTCCTCGTTTTCACCAACGCTTGTGCTGTGGGGCTTCGTTCTACTTTCCCCTGAACTCTCCGAAGTGTCCGACCCACGCCTGCGTAAGCTGAATCGAATATCTCGATCGCTTTGACAGAGAGATATCGATCTGGGGTCCGCATCCCTCTAAACTCGATTCTTTAAAGCGATAAAGTAACAGGGGAAAAAAAGAATCCTGCCTTTTTCTGCCCTCGATATTTTCGATGAAGTAGGATTAAAAAATATAACCTTTTCTCAGAAAGAGATGATCTTTGTTAACGATAATGCAATATCTGAACAACACACCACGTTCATTCTTGATGTCTCGCTCACTCGATCTACATTTATTACGTATTTATTGTGATATTTATTTGATTTAGAAAAATCTAACAGTTTTTCTGCTTGCCGTAGTTTAGTTTTTTTCTTAAGAAATAATTAATTTCATAGATTTATATATTTTGAATGACACCTGCGCGTCTAACATTTCCTCTCATTGGCGAAACATCTTGCTGTTCCGCTTATACTTTCTAACAGCAAGCCACGAACGCTTTCTCACAAAACGGAGCGACGGAGTTACGATAAAATCGTTCGTCTCTCTCTCTCTCTCTCTCGCCTCACCCCCCTCCTACTGTCTTTTTGCCCTGAATAACGACTCTCCTCCCGCTCGATCTGGCGATGCCTTCGGTAATATCTAGTGCAAAAGCAACGTGGGAGTACACTGCAACGTTGGAAGTGAAAGTTACGGCGCGTCGAACGCACGAATGACCGAACGGAGAACGCGATTCGCTCGAAAAGCCGAGTCCCAACGTGATTCTTTCCTTCTCTCTTTCTCGCGAAATCGGAGAAATTTGCCGTACGAAAGTACGCTATGCGAGAGAAAAAATCGGGAAATCCTGACAACATAATAATACGGTAACGCCGGATGCGCCATCACTCGATTCGTTATACGTTTCCCGAATTTTCAATTAAAACAGGAAGCAGAACTGTCTGTGGGGGATTCATTGTATTTTCTGGAACGGAAGGCTTTTTATTTCATTATTAGCCACGCTTCTTCACTGCTTACGAGCCAAAGTTCTTATACTTAATCTACAGCTATCAGATATCCAACTTTAACAGCAATTTTTCAAAAACTAAAATGTGAGGTCTAATTGAATTAAATTTGAAATAAATCAAATTTTAATTGAATTTTTATTTGTAGAAACTAATTTAAAAGTATTTTTAATAACATATATATATTTCAAATATTTTTCAATAAACGAGAAAATAAATTATTTTCAATTTTTGTAATATTATAAAAAATTAAACAATATGACAAAAGTGTTTTAAAAAGACGGTGTCTAATAAAAAAATAGACGTCTTATTTCTGACATTAATATTATATAACTGTCTGTATTCAAGTCAACTAGTGTTTCTTTAATGATTATTTCTTTTAGTTCTTCGCTGAATTTATAAATGTATAAATCATTCGTAATAAAAAATCATTGAGATTCTTTGTCTTTTCAATATAGCCAATAGAGTTCAATGATAATTGGCACGATGATACGTGAATGTACTCGCATGTACAAGAATTGGTACATGGTTCGAACTATTCTCACACCTCTATTAAATATTCAATCCATTCTTTCAAATAAGCTTATCTTGTTCGGCATTTTGCAGGTTTTGTCATCTCTTTATCAGTTACTATCGTAATTATGATCAAAACTTTTGTATTTTTCCTATTTTAAGGAAATTTTTCATTATCTAGTGGTTGTGGTTACGCTTAACCTCCTAATGTTTTATTCAATGGATTTCATCTATAATGATATCATGGATGAAACTGATTGAGTGAAACATATTAGGTTAAGTTTTACCACAAGTTAACGAGATAATGAAAAACTAGGCCTTAATGGAGGAAATATTGATAAGTTGCTCGAGGCATCTGTTATTCAACTTTAGGCTGCAATGATTCTGAGACATTCTCTCGACTTGCCAACAATAATAAACAATAAGAATTTTATCATACTTTGGCTGCCATTATTCTTCATTATTTTTATTACTTGTAACTGTGGCGAGAGCTCACCTCGTGAAAAAGAAGTGCCTTCGGCGCAGCAGCAGCGCGAATCTCTTCATACCGCGAGAGCCAGGTGGACTCGCCAAGAGTTCATTCGATTCAGTTCCCGTTTCCTGGTCGGTCGGGTCGCCCGATAGCGTCCGATGAACCTGCAAGGCTAACGTACTTGGCTCGCCTTCCAAGCGAGTTCCGTACTTGGCACCGCACGTGAGCGCTATCGCGTGTCCTACGTACCCTTCCTCCTTGCTCTTCCTTCTCCCGCGTCTCTCTTTCTGTCCCTCCTCTCGTCTTCCTCTACGGCTCTCGTGATGACTTTTTCTCCAGAGAACTCGATTTTAAGAGATTCGTAATTCAAACAACTGAGTCGGGTCGCGCTCGAAGGGAATTCGTCATCGTGAGACAAAGTGTCTTTGTTACGCATATATAACAAATACAACGAACAGAATGATACAGGAAGCTCACGTAATATAGTACGGAGAGAAAATATTTGCTGCGAATATAAGGATTGCAAAATTATTTGCAGGTGTAATAAATACTTTATATTTGCTACAAAAATTATGTGCAACAAATGCAAAATATTTGTCAAATATGCAAATCTAAACAGCAAACAAATTGGACAATGAATTTTTGCAAACTTTTTGCATTCATAGCAAAATTATTTTTCTTCATAATTTTATTTCGTATTATTTTTCTCCTAAATATAAAAATATGCATGTACTCAGACTGGTTATTATAACATCTAAATAACTCCGAAATGATTTTTCTAATCATTTTAATCATCTTTAAGAATCATTATGATTCTTTTTACCATCATTTTGACTCGTTATCGCGACGTATACTGCTGGATATATATAGCCTTTCTTTATTTCCATTTGAGTTAAAAGGACTTTTCCTCTTCCACAATTAAATTTTCTTGCTTCCTACTTTAGTCTCTTATTTCTATAATTTCGTAAATATATTTAATATAAAAGTCATGTATCTCTCTTGCAAGTGCTACTGAAATAGCATCGAAATAGTATCGAATGCTCGACAGTGTCCCGGGAATTAATTTTCCATCCGATATCGCTCACGTCGAATCCGCGGGATTCGCGGGGTTCAATTATAGCCACATCGCAATACCGTTTTGCGAGTGTCGAACGCAGGTTTCCGTGCATTACGAGCCGATCCAATAAGCTCCTCCGTCCCGGCGTACGTCCAGAAATATGAAGAGGGGTCGACGACCCCCGTGACGTAATGCAAACACGCGCGCACAATTAACGACATTCTGTCGGACGGGGGCCGCGTGGCGGGATGACTCGAAGCTGTCGCTCGGTATCCATCCAGCCGAATTAACCGGACGATAATGTGTTTCTCTTTTTTCTTGCCTGTTACAGACTTGCGGTGAGCGACTGTGCGGGTCAAACGTCGCGGGTCAGCTCGAACCTGCACAGCAGCAGTAGTATGGCGGTGAGCCGCGTCCCGAGCCCGCCACCGCCGGAAGTGAACACCCCCGTGGCCGAGAACTGGTGTTACACGCAGGTACGTTTCGTCGTTGGTGGTGGTTCATTGTCCTCCGCCGGCGCTCCGCCGTGGTTTAGCGATCGATTCACCTGCGCCCGAAATTCACCCAGTCACCGTGAGCGGCGGAAATTGCTAGAGACGGGACATGGCGGATTACATCATTATATTTACATTATTATTTATCGCTTATTTTATATCGCTGTCGACGATTTTATCATTTTAATCTAAATTGAGACCTTGCTTGAAAACTTTGCACCGCTTACAATGTACATGCAATTTTAGGTACATAACAATGTTACGATAATGGAATTAATTTTAAGACAGGCTAAATGAATATTTTTAGTCTGACGTCCCCGAGAAAATAATCTGGTAGATATAAACGTCTGCAATTACTGTCCTTCGTTCGTAAATTACTGTTGAGTAGAGTATAAATTCTGAATTGTGTTCTTCTGGATGCTAGCTGTTTTTAAGATAATGTATTCTCAGACAAGATACAATTTTGTGTCGTCCTCCTATACATGCATGGTTTACGTTTACTCGATGTCGAATCGAAGAACTTATTTCCGGATCGTCGTGAATACAATCAGAAACGAATACCTAATAAATAAAAGATAATGAATTCTAAATTTGCATTTCTAAAAATCACGCATTGAAGAATATTTATACACCCATAGAAAAAAAAGATTTCTGAATCCAATGCCATTATACTCTTCGACTTATGCTGAATAGGAAGAATCATTTGTTATTATAAAATAGGAATATTTAACTCTTAAATAGAGAGAATTTTTTTAAATCTACAACAAATCATCTAAAAATTATGCTAATCTCATGAATTCTCTCAGAAAGATTTAAATTAGATAACAGATTTAACAATAGATCGATTTGGAGGAATTCTATTTTGTTCTTGCGTAAAAAATTTACAAAGAATTTCTAGAGTGTGAAGAAACTTGTATTATTCTTAATTCAAAAATGTTTTTTGTGCTGAAATGAAATTCTTTACGAACGAAAGCACATCTATTATTTGTTTAATGTTCTGTGTTACAATTATGTACAAACAATTGGAACATTTCAATCATCTCTACAGTGATTCAGTGCACGAGTTTATTTCTGCTCTTACAACTTTCTTACGACAAAGTTCTTCGGTGGAAATCAATCAAGATATTTGACAAAACTCATTATAGAATACCATATAATTATGTTTCAATTGTAAGTCAATCTTATTTAATTCTAGGAAGGGGAAGACAAAAGTTCTTTCTACAGTATAATATTAATAAAACAATACTAAGATTAGATCAATAATTCCTATTCTTAGGAATTATTATTATACTGCATAAGGCTACTATAGGATTAAGAAAGAACTTTTGTCTCGTTATCACAAATCCTTTCCGAAAGCTCGTCGAAAAGAAACTGACGGAGATCCTTCTCGACTCGCAGAAAGTGTTTTCCGACACGCCAACGCTGTCCTGCACAAGAATTTAGGAGGGCAAAGTCCGAGATAAATTTTTCAGTATAGTGTACGCGATAGTGGGTTCACATCCGAGTTGAATCGTCGGGTGGATTGAACGCTTGAACGCGTATCTCGCGCGAGCCACGGTCGGCACGTAGGACACGGATAGTAGGTAGACGAAGAGAGGGGGGAAAAAAAAAAGGAAGGCTCTCTCGCGCGCGGAGAGACGCGGAGAATCCGCGGCCGGTGGATCGCTGGCGCGTAGCGCGCGCGTGAGAGCACGCGCTCCTGGCGCTCTCATTCTATTTTTACTGCGCTCGTCCCCCTCGCGCGCGGTGAACGACCTGCAACTAGATATCTCTCGTCGCACTCCTCTCCCGTCCTCCTGCCGTGTAGGCCTCCCTCGCGGCCGACGTGCTGACGGTCGCGGAAACGTTCCGCGATTCACGCTGGCCGCCGCGCCGTGTCCTCTCTCCCCCTCGTCTTCCGCAGTTATTTCCGCTTCGCGCGATTCGGGATGGATCGCGATTCGCGTCCCCCGTACGCGTCGACGCCCTGGATACCGTGAATAAATGGATAGAGGTTCATTATCAGCCTGGGCAAGTTTTCCTCTCCCCGGCTACGGGGAGATCCGCAACAATGGACAATTGTCCGTTTACAGCGGTATAGGGGACGGGTAGCGTTAGGAAAACGAAATAACGTCGTTGGTGTAATAATAGCACGGACCGCGTGTATGTGTAATAGATAGGCGCCGATAAGTTCGATAAATACGCAGAAACGAGAAAAATATAGCGACGACTCATTACCGATAGTATTGATGTTGATAAAAGTTCACGCGTAATCTTCGCGAGATTAGAAACAAACTTGTTCCTCTTCATCTCGCTTTGTGGCGAGATTCTCGGAGAGAGCGAGATCCCCCCCCGACCGTTGGAAGTGCTCGTAAATAAAAAAGCGGAGGCTGCGAGAGCTCCTCAAGAGAGAGAGAGAGAGAGAGAGAGAACCTCGATGGTTTCACTCACCGCGTATATATTTAACTCCACCGTTCTAATTTCGACAGCACGGCAGAAATGCGAACGTTATTACGCTCGCTTTCTCGCGGGAGTTGCGCAAGACGGCGGTCACCGCGAAATTTTATGATACACCACCGTCCACGCGCGAATCGATGGAGCATTCACGTTGCTCGCCGCCTTCGCCTATAAATCGAAAGTCAATTCGTGCTCCAGTTAACTTTCGTAATGCTCGACACCGATTTCGCCGCGCGTCGGCGACGCGGAGGGGACAGGCCGCTCCGCGGTTCGCCGCGGACATCACGTAACATCCGTGCGATCTATGGGAACGCGATCGACCGCCGCACTGAGAAAAATTTCTCATTGAAAGTGAACGAATCAGATGATTCTCTGATCATATCGATCAGAATTCTGATTATCTCAACTAGATATCGGTACTTTGCGCTAGCTGCGTGTGTAGTGCTTCGCGAAGCAAAAATGAAAGTTGATAAGACCAAGAGACGAGCAAGAAAATTACAAGATAATAAGATTATATACAGGGTGTCTCCGGGCGTAAGAATGAAATCTTACTCCAAAAAAGAGTGAACTCTGGCCACTCTTATTGAAGAGTGCAAATATTTTCATTATTTTTTATTAGTAGCAGTATTTTTACTTTTTTGGAGCGACATTTCACTCGAAAAAATTTGGAGAGAGATACCAATAAGAATTCTAGATATCTGTAGATCGTAATTTCTGATTATCTCGACTATAGAATGTTCAATAAACGAAAAAATCGATTTTGTTGAAATATCTAAAAGTTTGGATACCGATCTAAAAATAACTTTATTAGACTATCAAAATATTTGAGTAGAAAACTTAAGCGTGATAGGCAATGCTAGAAAAAATGTCGATATTCTAAGTAATCAGCTTGAGTGTTCTAGATAATTATTTTGATGGTCCAACAAAATTTATTTTCAGATCTGCAGTAACTAAATTTTGAGATACTTCAACAAGACATGTTATTTCCGCGTAAATTAATAAGTATAAGTGTTTAAATTGTGTGTACTTTTCGAAATTTGCCAGAATTCCAGTGAACATAATTTTCTCCCAGTATTTAATTTGACTAACTAAAGCAAATTTTATTGAACTTAATATTGACTTTTTCTCTCTTCTGTTTGGTATTATTTTAATTTAATAATCACAGTTTAGTCTGAGAGATACGCGAGCTTCGTCGACGGTAAAATCTCACGCGTCGACTACAGGCGCTGTCGGAAGGCGATCCGGGTTCAAGGTTGATGAAACAGTTACGAAACGTTACGATTATATCATCATTCGAAATTCCTGGTATTTTTAACTCATCTGTATCCGAAGGATACAAGTTTTCGGCCTTTTATTCATACGAGGACATGGCGTGAATTTAGTTTTCTCGTTGTTGTCCGAGGTCATTGCGGGACTACCTTGTAGCCCAAGGCTCGAAATCCAAGGTAGAATTAAGCGGATTTTTTTTTTTAGAAAGTTATAACGCGTAGTTTTCGTATTTAGAAACATTTAGAAATTGCCGCGATAAACAAATGTTTTATTCCACGCTATATGCGATCATTGTGAGATTATATAGACGATAATTCCAGATTTTTCACGCTTAATTTATCTACGGTTTCATTGACCCCTTTCGGAATCAATTTTGTAATAATAAGATAAGATTGAAATTCCAAGTCGAAATTTTAAGTGAGATTTTATATTTATAATTCTATATACCGTCTATTCGTGTCTCTCGGCTGCATTTCACGAAGCGTTCTGCAAGATTTATGATTTCCTCTAGAAAAAGAAAATAGATGAAAAGATAGTTTTATTCGAACATGATTTGATTACATCCCCAATCAAAGTATTATACAGTTTTAGCCAAAAACACAGGGCGCTTATATTTTTTTCATTTATCTGCATTGTTACTTATTGATTATATTATATACATGAGCATTGTACGTAAGTTTGAAGAATTCTTGAAACGAAGAATAATTTTGAGCTAAGACCGTACGTTTCTTAATTAAGCACAGAGTACATTATACGTTTGCGACGACCGCGTATGAAAATATTCGCACGACTTACTCAACTCGGAGTCTGACGCCGCCGTTCGCATCGCATCGCACGATAACGCGCGGCGAGAAAGCTATACGCGAAACGTCTGGAGAACGTTTGCGACGCAGGAAGTATTTTCGCAAGACGTCCTCGCGGTCGTTCATCTCCGCGACCCGGCCAGCGGCGACGCGATCGCGTACCGTGTCCAGGAGGAGGACTCGATCACCGGAAGCCCCCGGACTTGTTGGTCCGGCAGCACCAGCGGTGCTTGAATCCCGCGTGCGTTCCACGGCGCTCCCGTAAACGGGCACGGGTTATTCAAGGCCGATCGCCGCCGCTGCTGCTGCCGCCGCCGCCGCGACCGCTGCCGCCGCCGCGAGCGGGTTGAACGACTCCTAGGGGCGTCGACCGGGTCGCTTCCTCCGCCGCCGCCGCGTTCCTCCTCGTCGCTCCACCTGATGGCGGCGATCCGCGCCGACTCGCTACACGGAACACCCGGGAGAGAGAGACGA